GCTTAAACAAGTAAACAGGAAGGCCAAAACTAAACTTTAGAGGCATGCCTCAATGAATAAGCCAAATAATTTATCCAGAATAATTTGGAATGCCATAGGTTTAATTTAGTGTACTGGGAGAACGTTCCTAATATTGAGTCCAAATGGTGTGGTGGTTTTAAGTAAAAGTTCTCAGTGATTCTCTTTATCTTTGCGATTTTCCTCGCTCCAATTGGCATTATGGTCAATTGCAATCACTCTGAAATTTGAAATTGAATGACCAGCTAAATTGAAATGTTCGGCTACTATATATATATAGGCCTATACCGTAATACCTCGAATTGAAGCCCCTTCTTTAGTTTGCAAAATTAGCCTCGGGGAAAGAAAGACCATCTCGAAAAGAGGCCCATGGGCTTCTTTTCAATATAGCAGGCTTCTTTTTGAGATAGTATACAGTACATACACTGTATATGAATTTCAGAAAACAAAATAAATTAAACACAAGCTTGGTAGTTTACCAAGTTAAAATCTAGGTGATTTAATGCCAGTTAAATACACTGTAAATGGCATTAAATTCACTCCATGATACAATCTGTATCATGGAGTGTACGGTATTTAATGCCAGTTAAATACACTCCATGATACAGATTGAAGTTACAGTGGCCTTATTTATTGTTTAATAGTACAAATTCACAAAATTTACAGCATTAATTTTGGAAAAAAGCCCCCGTCTTTACTTTGCAAAAGTAGCCTCGAAAAAGAGCCCATAAAATGTTCGCAAAAAAGAAGATACCAGCTAACAGCAAGTGGAATATTGCAATGAACAATATCAATTGAAACGTAATAGAATCTGAATAAGAAAGTAAAAAGGTCAGCCGCTATCGAGATTCGAGCCGGAGCTTGACCACGAATGCGTTGTCGTGAGCCAAGCGCCAGCAGAATAACATATATACCTGTATAATATGTATGTATATTGATTGATTGATTGAATTAATTTATTGGTAATCAGAGTCATACATACAAACAAGATATACAAAAAAAAAACAGACAAGATTAAAAAATTCGCAAAAACATTACCCTAATTACAAGGAAAAACCCAAAAGAGTAAAGCATATTTTAATTGGGGTCTTTGCAAACACATAAATATAATTGCACGTTTATCATGACAGAAAACAGTTTAAAAGAATTCAGTGAATAAAAGCAGGTGAAAAAATGGCAGCAATAAAAAGATTAAAAACATTGTTTATCACTCTAAAGCTACAGTAAAAATACAAATCTGAAAAGTTAAATAGCTTCAAATATTTCAGAATTACTGCACTTAGAAAATAAGTATTTATTTTTATTGAAAATTGATACATAATAAAAAAGTTAAAATCCGGTAATTTGAAAAAAAAAATCTCTTAAAAGTTGAAAATACTTATAAAAGAACACTAGTAATCTCAAGATGAAGCCCGTCTCGAATTGAAGCCACCCCACCCCCTTTTTAGTTTGCAAAATTAGCCTCGAAAAGAAGCCCATCTCGAAAAAAAAGTCCATGGGCTTCTTTTGAAGATAGCATAGCTTCTTTTGGGGATAGTACAGTACACACACTGTACATGAATTCCAAGAAACAAATAAATTTAAAAAGAGCTTGGTTTATACAGTAGGTGGTTTAATGCCTGTAAATACATTCAATGATACAGATTGATGTTACAGTGGTGGCCTTATTTATTGTTTAATAGTACAAATTCACAAAATTTACAGCATTAATTTTGGAAAGAAGCCGCCCCACCCCCTCTTTACTTTGCAAAAGCAGCTTTGAAAAGAAGCCCATCTCGAAAAGTAGCCCATTCCAAGTTCGCAAAAAAAGAAAAATGAAGCTCAGGGCTTCAATTCGAGGTTATACGGTACCGTACTACCATAGAGAAAATAGATTTTCTCTATGGTACTACGGAGTCAAAATTATAGTTAACAAACGTGAATAAAAGTGTGGCGTATTAGTCAGTTTACTTTTGTAATGCGTGCAATATCAATAGATTCATGTTTAATAATATACTATCAAAACATTTTTACTTCAGGTATGCCAATTTGAAAATTGTAGTTGCTGCGAAGCAGCCAATTCATATTCTTGACAGCAATTTGACCTCTGAAAGGTCATTGTTTGTCAAAAAACGACTGCCTAAGACGACTGAAAAGCGGAGTTTCCTTCTTTCGTTCTGCCCGGTAAAATCAATTACTTTAGGCGACGTTTGTAGACTAACCTACTTGTACCAACGTCCGCATGTCGCGCTAGCCTTATCCTACGCTAGGCCTAGACTAGCTAGGATGGTATAGGCCAAGCCTTGAAGGGACGAAGGCCCCAATGAAAAACAACGTCGCTCTTTGATAGCTAACATTGTCTATTTAACATCACAATAATTCATTATTAGACCTATAGTTGTTTTTTGACACCATAGAATGATGATAAAACCAGGTCCTGATAAAACCCAAACACTGATTCTTCTGTGATATCAACAACAATGTCGAAATATTGAATTAAACCTAGGTAACATGATTTACTTTCAAATTTCAATAAAGACAGGAAACTTAGATGTGTATAAGAGACAGACTATAGACACTTTTTGACAAAAATGAAAAATTACGAGTTTGTTACTCAATGAGAAGTGTTCTAATATAGACAATGGGTCGTGCTCATATTATTTGTTATAGTTTTATTATTCATTATTTTCACTTGACTCGCATAAATAATTTTGTTCGAAGAACATTTATATGCAGTTGTACTTCGCAGCACTTCACTTGCAATTTGCAATTTCTAGTTGCATTTATATAAATCCTCTACGCTATTTTTACAGTTACGGAATCAAAATTACAGCGTGCTTGAAAGTGTGGCATAAATATAATAATAAAATAGTTTACGTTATATTCCATGAAGATACCCATATGATGCAACTAACGTTGTTGTAATACTTTTCAGTATCACTATTATCGTTGTTATTCATCATACAATTTTGTAATAATATAATTACTCGCGTGCCAGTATGCACTTAAAATTATTCCATTACCTAATTCAGTGTGTTCGTGCTAAAATGTGGTAATTGCAAGGTTAGATTAAAAAAAAAAATCCATGTTATTGAGGTCGGTCGAATCCTACCAGGCAGTGTTTAAATTGCATTTTTTCTGTGATAATTCATAACATGGAATACAGATAACGAGTGGAAGTGTACATTCTACTTATATAAATACAAACTTCATATGGATGCACAGCTTGCATTCGCGCATAATCGCACGTTAGGTTTCAGGATTGAATACTACGCGATTACGCCTGG